AAAAGACTTTTCACTCCCATCATGCAATCTTCCCATAGTACTTCCGCAGACACAGCGGCGATCACCAACATATCTACAAATAACATCGCTCTCAGGAGCTGAGGAATTATGTTATACATTCCATGTTTGGCATGTACTTATAATTGGAAAGTATATCCACACAAACCTCACTATGATTTCACAAAATATCATGAGAGAACAACCATGGGAACATTAAAATGATAAACACATTGATTAAATCAGCTGAATTTCATTACTGTTATTCAGTGGGCCATTTCCTCTTAGGTGTAATAGCCACTTTGGGATAAACATCTCTGAAACAACGGCATCCAATCAGATCAAGAAATGACCTGATGGTAGATACTGGCATCCATTTGTTTATTATCACATGCACAAGCCCTGCTTTTATACATTGTACGATGGTACGTCATTCTATGTCTATGTCATCGGGTCTGCGAGTATTTTCATTGATATCCAGTTCTCAAAATAAACTACATGTATATACTAGTATAAAATATTGTTGTTTTTGTGCTTAAACATGGTAACAGAATATTACAACACAAAAACAAATGGTCACAAACTATTAACTATTTTCAATTAAAAATATATTCACATTAGCTTCTTAGTGAACCACTGCTGTATTGAAACACTGCATCCAATCTTCAGAAACATGTCGTCTATCAGCATGAAACATGCGCTACCTTGGACACACCAAAAGTTTATGGAAGTGATGGGTGATTTCTCAATTTTTCTGCCTTTGTAAGGACAGGAGATAAACACAAGTTCAAATAGTATGTTTTTTTGCCAAAAAAGCAGTGTATATGGTTGTGTTCATGATTTACTTGCCACCAAACTGTGCAATTTTGTTTTGTTCAAGAGAGAAGATTGTTACAATTTTACATGTCACACTGTCAAAACAGATGAATACAAATCATTGTTACAGTAACAGATGGATTTTGACCTGGCCAAAATGAGTTCAGCACATGAATACAAATATATTCTTCAAAACAAAGACCCAAAGAAGAAAACAAATAAAAAAATTCAGAATTCACTAAAGAAACCAACAACTTATATTTGTCTTCATTCAGCTGGGAAAATATGAGTAGTGTAAGAACTGCAGGAGTCGAAGATGAGTAGTGATACAGATCTTACACCACACTTATTTTCCCCAGCTGAATAAAGAAAAAACAAGTCATCTGAAGATGACACAGCCCCCACTTGTCAGATGTGATAATAGTTTTATGAAATATAAAGTTTGAATGTATATGTATAAAATCAGGTAGGAAGATTAAGTTGAAAATCAACATTACAAGGCACATACATGTACCCTATATCGACATATCAAGTAAGTCTATACCAAGTATGGTCTTATTTGGACTAATAATTTACAAGATATTAACAAAAATTAAAAATTAATTAAATATGCAAATGAGCCCATTAATTAAGTTGAAACTCAATATTGCATAGCACATATCGTATATTGACAGATCAAGTCTCTACCAAGTTTTGGACTATTAGTGCACAAGATATTAAGAATTCAAATTAATAGTTAAATATGCAAATGAGCTCATTAATTGATTCCTTGAAAAAATCAATGTGCATCTGTACCAGTGGTCACTGTGTCTTTGTACCAAGTCTCAGCAAAATTGGTCCAGGCATCTCCGAGATATGATGATGGACACACAAGGGCCGAATTTGACTGAATTTTGACATTAAAAATGACCTCCAGTTGGCCATATTTGATCGAAGCGAAAAATAAATTGACGTGCACATGTATGGTTGACCACTATGTCTTTGTACCAAGATTCAAACAAGCAGCCTCTCGGCTGAGATAGCTCCGCTGTTAGCAATGCACATTTCAATTAAAGAACTGAAGATATTATTAGAAAATGAACAATATGTATAGTATCAAAGCAATCGGACGAAAATATCACTTTTTACCAAAAATGACAAAAATATTCACCAAAATTAGAGAATTGAAGATATCACCACAAAATGAACAAATCTGAGAGAGGTCCACATGTAGTACCTATATATGTAATATCAAAGCAATCGGACTTACAGTTTTTAACAAGAAGTCGAAAATATCACTTTTTACCAAAAATGACAAAAATATTCACCAAAATTAAAGAATCGAAGATATCATCACGAAATGAACAAATCTGAGAAAAGTCTACATGTAGTATCTATATACGTAATATCAAAGCAATTGAACTATTGGTTTTTAACAAGAAGTCGAAAATATCACTTTTTACCAAAAATTACAAAAATATTCACCAAAATTGAGAATTGAAGACATCATCACAAAATGAACAAATCTGAAAGAGGTCCACATGTAGTACCTATATATGTAATATCAAAGCAATTGAACTTGCGGTTTTTTAACAAGAAGTTGAAAATATCACTTTTTACCAAAAATGACAAAAATATTCACCAAAATTAGAGAATTAAAGATATCATCACGAAATGAACAAACCTGAGAGAGGTCCACATGTAGTACCAATATATATTATATCAAAGCAATTGGACTTGCGGTTTTTAACAAGAAATCGAAAATATCACTTTTTACAAAAATGACAAAAATATTCACCAAAATTAGAGAATTGAAGATATCATCATGAAATGAACAAATCTGAGAGAAGTCTACCCAAGGTACATATACACGAAGTATCAAAGCATTCAGGCTTGTAGTTTTCAAGAAGTCAAAAAAGTAAAACATTGACACGAACGACGACGGATGACGACGGACAACACCGGACGACGACGGACAATCACTCATATGATAAGCTCCGCTCGACAAAGTCGACAGCGGAGCTAAAAACTGATAAAATAAATTCCAGTAACATCTCAAATGAATTGCTCTGAATTGTACATTCACAATCCAAATATGGTGCCAGTGACCTGAAGTTTCACCTTTAAAAATGAGAGCTGATGAAGATCTATCAATCTAATGCATTTTCTTTGTGTTAACAGATGCAAGCTTATGAACAAAGCATTGCTCAAAGCAAATTAAAAAATTAGTTGCGTTTATGCCATGGGTAAATTGATTTGAGTTAACATTTTGGTGGAATTGTACAAGTCAAATGCATACATGTGTTAGTACCTGCATGGTGGTAAACAGACAATTTGTAGAGTGAATCAAATATTTAATTGTACAATTTTCTTCTTCTATATCTCTTGATATCAATGATTTCCACATTGATTTATATGACCATGAAACAAAGAGCAAATCAAAAAATACCATTGTAAGCCATAATGACAGGTTGTGAAATTAATATATGACAAATAGGTTCTGTAAAGGAATCAAGTTGTTACAGTACTCTTAATACAGGGTAATATTTGTCCAAGATTTGTTAAGAAAAACCTAGTGGAAATTTATTTTGGATTATTTAGAAGTTAATAGACAATAAATTTGAACCTGAAGAATTCTCCAGAACCATGTCACAGTCCCACTACCATGTCTATGTTGTGCAGCAATGTCCCCTGATGACGTCACCAGGAAAATATTTGTATGCAAATGAGGACTAATGAGGAGCCTTGTTGTGAATTGCAGTAAAT